CTAAATATGTTTCTCAAATTATAATGACAATATTAATTGCATTGGGTATTATTTTCTAAATGAAATTAATAAAAAATTAAAGACTAAGAAAAGAGAGTTGGTTGAAATGGGTGTGATTATAGTTTTTCTTCGTTCACATTTATAATTCAGTTCAAAAAACAATCACTATTTTTAGTAAATCAGTCAAGAATTTTCAGGAAAAGAATTGATAAGAGTTCTGATTTTCAGTAGATGAACTAACTATTAACTTCAAGATTGTCATAATTTTTAAATACCAAAAGAAATCAATTTTATAGATTAAAAATTAGGAGAAACTGATTTTTTTTAAAATCAATGTTTAATTTATTTTAAATATATACATATTGTAATTATTTTCAAATATTATTTTTATAAATATAAATTTTATTTAAAATAAAAATATTTGATATTATTTATCTTAAAATGAATAAATTTATTTAATGTTATATTAAACAAAAAATTTATAAACAAATTTATTATAAAATTCAAAGCCATCACAACAAATTGGCACATAAAAAAGTAAAATATAAAAATAAAATTTGCGAAATAAATGAGCTAAAAGGAATTTAATGAATAATCTATGATATAATAAATTTTCAAAATATCAACAAGACTATGAAATTTAACAGTAGAAGATCTTGGAAGCTTAATTCTGGATTTATTAAATCTCTCTAAAGACTATATGTTCTTCTTTCTATAGAGGAAAGCATTCCTCCATCTACTGGTCTCGCTTATAAAAATAAGCGATTTTATTTTAAATAAACCAAATCATCTTCATAAGATGGAGAATCACTAGACATTCCAAAGGCTGGTAAATTTTTTCCTGTCAAATTTGCCTTCTAGCCATTTTTAAAGGGATCCATTCCAACAGGTAAACCTTAATTTAAACTAGCAGCCATTTCATCACTCATGGGTGTCAAATACATTTAAGTCATTGTAAATTTAGCAAAAAATGCTCCTTAAACAACTGAAGAAGCTTCTTCTTGCCATTCATAAATACCAACTACCTCTGTTTCTAAAAAGGCTGATGTTTAACCAGGCCCAGGATAACTTGTTAATACTAATGAAAAACCTTCAGCTGAAAGAAATGATATTTTTCTAGTTTAAAATGTAGTAATAAGTTTTCCTTCATTATTAAAGCCTGGCCTTACTTCTTTTGTTAGGCTTGACCAAACACCATTAATGACATTATTCATCACTTCCTCTTTTGTATATGGAGTATCATCATCAGAGAATGGAATAAGAGGAGCACACAATCCTTTTGGAGGGTTTTCTAAGCTTGCTTCTGTACCAAATACATCCACTTCTCCCATATATAAAAAATCATCTCTTATATATATAAGATCATAAGCTATAAAAAATTGATTTGCTTGCTTTTACAAAGCTGGAACACCTTTTTTAGTAATATCTTCAGGTTTATCCTTGACCCAAGTTATACCATCTTATCCTTGTTATGCTGTATTGAAGGCAGTTACAAATTAATCTGTGTGAAGAGTAACGATAGCTGATTTACTAAAATTAAATTAGCATAAATATCCCCCTGAAATTACATCACTAGCACCTTAGTATGTAATTTCTCCTTATCCTTAGATTGTCAATCTTCTATTTTAACCTGATTTATCTTCAAAGTTTTCAATCAATGTTGAGAATTCAGTTGACGTTGTAAAATTCCAAGATCTTCTTTGATATTCTGGGTAAACTTAATCTCCTTGTTATTGTGGGATCAATTCTAAAGCAATACTTTTCCAATTATTAACGATTTTATCTTTAATTTCATCCAAAGTTTGCGTTGAGGTTTAACTTATCAGAATAGTTACAATTAGTATAATAGTCGTAACATTAGATATTCTAAACATTCTATTTTATTAATGATTAGGATTAAAAATATTGGTTGATATTTATAATATGTTCTGGATTTTCTGAATTCCTTAAAATTACATTAATTAAGATAAAATTTATATCATAATAACCTTTTTATATTTTTTATTTCTAATCAATTTTATTAATCCATATTTATTTGAATTTTATTATTTTTTATCAAAGAATCTTATTTTTTTTCTTTGATTTTGAATTTTTAGAACATATTTTTGTCAATTTACCATTATATCATTTTTTTAATGTCGTTAATGTTTTAATTTTAAATTTGAACTTAAAAATGTATTTTTAATGTAATTTATTTAATACTTAGCTATAATTGTATCTATAATTTATTGAATTAAAACAATTTATTTTAAACAATAATAATATATATAAAATTAACATCACTTTTTATAAGGTTTAATTTTTTTTTAAGATGTAATTTGAGTTTTCATTTCAAAGAGTACCTTTCTAGGGGAGCTCAATAAATAGACAGAAAATTTGTTTTATTCTTTTTTAGAATTAATTGATGGTAATTATATTTGTTTTTATGGTTTTGGAGTATTGATCATTTTAATTGAGTTACAGGACTACACAAATTATTAAACCGTTTTGTTAACATTTGTATGCATAATACCTTCAGTAAGTTTGCGATTATGCATTGATATGTTTTTGGTTTTAATAAGAGGAGTTTTTAATTGGATAGGTTTTAAGTCAGATACTTTTTGACTTTATTCATCACTTGAACTAGTTCTTGATTCATTGATAATATTTTTATAACTATTAAATCCAAAACTAGGTGATTTAGTAAGATTAACGAATGAAACCAAAGCTGTTTCATAAGTTTAAGAGTATTAAGACATTTCCATCATAGTTTTAGAATATTTTAATTCATTATGATAAAAGAATTCATAATTAATTTGTTAATCATCTTTAGTTAATAGTCTTTTACATTTTTATATAGCTTCTTAAGTTTATGAAGTCACAAGTATAGTTTTTGCTTTTTTTGATTTATTATGATTGGTGAGTATTAGTGTATTGTTTTATGAATCTCCAATATTTAAACTGGTTGAAGTAACATAAGTGCCTTTTCTTCTTTACATTCTTCGTTTCTTCTTTTTACAATGATGAGCCCTAATATAAGTCTGTGGATGCAAAGCATTTTATCTATCTTAAAAAACACCAACATTCCCACACTCTGAGCAACGACAACTTTATCTTCTAAAAGGTTTATTATTAGATGTTCTCTTAATTGAAGGAGAAAGAAAACTTCGTTTTTTGTTAATTAATTGCAATAATTCTTATCTACGAGATCTGTTCATTGTTTTTATAATTAATTGATAAACTATTTTTATAGATAAATATATTTTGATTTGAATTAAATTAATGCAGTAGAAGTAACAACTATATAATATTAAGAAAATATTATTATGTTACAACAAATTTATATATCAAAAAATTCCTTTTAATGTTGATGGAGTGTTTTTTCTAGAGTGAAATAGATGCTTTTATTAATTTTGAACGAGTTATTCTGATGAAATACTTTTAATCATTGTTCTGGGGGTTTTAATAAAAGAATTTTGAATAATACTATCAATATGATTTCTTGAAGTAATGTTTTTAAAATATGGAGAGTAATTATTTAATGTAGTTGGACTATATTCAGTTTATGGTGTGATTTTTATTTATGTTGACAAACGTGATGATTTTTATTCATCATTTTTATCATTTTTGGAAAATCTTAATGGTTAAATAGTTGTAAAGGAATTAGTCGTAATTTTATGAATTTTGGGTAAAACATACTAAGAATCTATATAGTAATGAGAGATGAATACCTTTTTCATTTAATTTTTATTATAGATAAACTCTGATTGATTTTCGTTATTTAAGTTTGTTATCAATGATTTTAGCCTGAAAAGATTATAATTGATTATTTTGTGAATGTTGCTTCTCATCATTTTAAATTGATAAACCTTATTATGTTTAAGGAGGCATGAGAGGAGATGCATCAAAATTGAGTTTAGTTTTGAATCGATACATTTTTTTTTGTTTTTCTTTTTTTTTTAACCTTCTTCGTTTTTGAATTAAATATATAATGCAATAGACAGCATTAACAAATCTTTTGATCAATCTATTTTTTCTTTGAACGGACATTTGGGTATGAAAAGGTAAGAATTTCTTAGAAAGAGTCTTAAGTTTTTTATTGGATGAGCCACATTGAAAACAGGAACAACTGTGATTATCATTAAATATAGAATTCTTTGAAGTTTCCGAACTACTTTAGTCTGGGAGGTTACTACCTATCCAAGGATTTAAAATCCAGATTTTTGTAAGACATGGGGATATGATGTGAATTGGAAGGATGTATTGGTTTGGAATAGATAGGTATAATTAGTTAAGGTTATAGATTGGCAACTCTCTGAAGACAATATTGATGTAGGATGTTATTATGATTCATGTAATATATTAAATATTATTAATTGTGATAATATATAATATGTATAAAAAACATATGCTAATAATATTCATAGATAAATATTCCATAAGCACACAGTTCCATCATAACTAGTTGTTATTACTTATTTTTAATCACTAGTCCAAGCAACTTTAGAAACTCCAGAGGAATGTCCTAAATATTTTCCTAAAATGGATTGAGTTAGAATGGATATTAAAATTAACTAATATATAATAATAGAATACTTCTCCAGAATCAGAACCAGTAGCTAATATTTTACCATCTGGACTGATAGCTATAGAATTTAATTTATTGACTTCAATTGATTAAACTGGTTCTACAATGTCAATATCCCAAAATTAGATAGGCATGTTGATTCCACAAGTAACTATTATTTAATATAAATATGAATATACTTAATTCTAATTCATTGTCTTTTCTTTAAGTCATGTCAAGTAAAACTCCATTTCTAGATTGATGTTATATAACTTTTTTATCAGTTTTAAGATCATAAGTGTAAATAGTTTTATCAGCTGAACATGAATGAATAAGATTAGGTTTCATTAGGTCTGGGAATACTTTAGTAATTTCTTTAGAATGTATAGATATTTAAGTAATTAATTATCTAGCAGTTTTAGACCAAACTCTTATAATACTATCTTCACCACCAGACAGATAATAATTTTGATCACTATACAAACTAGTCACTGCTCCTTTATGAGCATTTACAATTTCCCATTTAATTGGAGATACTGGTTTATTAGTTATCATATATGCTCTAATAAAACCATCTCTCCAACCAGATATTATAGTTCTATCTGGATCTAAATAAACAGATGATCCTTTTACTCTATTCATATTAATAGGAATGCATCTAGTTATTACAAGCATTTCATTTAAATCCCAAACCATAACTACTCCTTCATAATCAATTGAGATAAATAAATCACAAGCATTCAATGGTACTGATAAACCTACAATACTAGATAAATGTCCTTCAGTATGAATTGCAGAATCTAAATGAGCAGTATTTATTCTATAAATTCTACCATTTGATGTACCTGCTAATAATTCATTACCATTTGGATCAATTGTAATTGAATTCATTCTACCTTCCAAACATATCTCTCTTTCTAAATTCCATCTTGTATCATTTCCAGTTAATTTCTTTATTTTACCATCACCTGAACCTACAAATAAATTCTTTCCAAATATATTGATACTCAAAACACCATTATTACTTATAGGTATTGTTGCTTTAAATAATCCTCCTTATTATGATGAAATACTAAATATACATATTTCACCTGCATGTGTTCCTACATATAAATAATCTCCATTCTAATCTATTACTGCTTTAGTATAATTTCTTACTAATCCACTACTAGGTAATTAACATGGTGCTTATTTCAATTAATATTACATTGAAGCTACATCAAAATCCATTGTATTTAAAAATATATTTGAACCTTATGAAGTTACAATCAAATATTAAGAATGTTTAGTTGAAGATCTTCTTGGAGGACACCATGTTATTAAATTTATAGGAACTTCTAATAATTTATTATGAACTATTGTATAATCTTAACAATTCCATATTATTAAATTATTATTTGATGCTGTTGCTGCTAAAAATTTATCATCACTAGAAAATGAAACATTTGTTATTTCATCTCTTAATCCTCTGAATATTTGCATTGGTTTTCTACCATTAAAATCCCATAATATAACTGGTGCTTCTGGTGTCTTTGCATTTCTAGATCCCATTTATCCAGATGCTATAAATCTCCCTGTCTTAGATAATGTTAAAGCACTTATGTCCATATCATGTCCTCTCAAAAACAATTGTTAATGTTTATCATTCAAATTCTCTATTACTATCAATCCAGCTAATGCATATACTATTGTAGACTCTTTCTGAGGATGCAAATGAATCACATCTCGATATCTACCTGAAAAACCATTCATATGATCCAATTCTATTGCATCACTCTATAAAGGTAGTTTCTATCCTGTCTCTGGCATACTTTGCTGTACTACTTATGGAAGAGTTTAATTATAATAAGGATTCTAGTACTGTTACGGATTTTAAGTATATTATATTGGAGGTTATGGGTATGGTTACTTATAATATGGTTGTTGATTCCCTCTTTATGCATAATCTATTGGAGTATTTGTTATTGGATTTATTCCATTCTTATTCTAATGTCCTGGTTAAGGTCGTAAATTCATAATTTAAATTATTATTTCTTTTTTCAATTGTATAAATATTATTGTATATATATTATATACTACTAATTAATGAAAATTTTATTTTCTTTTATGTCATATCTCATACATAAAATTCGATATGCCTTTTCTGCTTAAAAGATACCTAGTGGAACTCATTTGATTGTTGGATTAGGAAACCCTGGAAAAATATATGAAAATACGAGACATAATGCTGGACAATTGTTCGTAAAACATATTTCTAAAGAATTTGGTGTAAAGATGAGTGATGGATAAAATGGATAAATTGGATGCTTCCAACATGTAATATTTTTCAATCCTCTTTCATTTATGAATTCAAGTGGCCATCCTATAAAAAAAGTAGCAGATAAAGCGAATATACCAACTAGCAATATTATTATAGTTCATGATGACTTAGATAGTTTACCAGGAAGATGCAAGATTAAACAAGGAGGAAGTGCAGAAGGACATAATGGTTTGAAATCCATTATCTAATACATGGATGATAAATTCATTAGATTAAAAATTGGAATAGGAAGACCTAATTCAAAAGACCCTGCAATAGTTAGTGATTATGTGATGAGTAAATTAGACTATGAACCATCATAAGAAGCATTCAAATAAGGAATCCTGCTTGTTCGACAACTCTTTAAATTTTGATGATCATCTATCATTATAAGGTCATGCATCATTCATAATAATTGGTTTCATCTAATAAAGTGTTGAATTCTGAATCTGTCAAAATATCTGAAAATTAACATTTTTCTTATCTCTATCTTGCATTCTTTCCATTTCTTCCTAATTCTCCTTTATAAAGTTTCCAATTCTAACCAATCATCAAAAATATTAGACTAATTATCATTATAGTGATTCCTTCCACTAAAAGATCGTTTTTTAACATTTTTTATTTTTATAATACTCAAAAATATATTCAAAACAATTATTTATCTTCTAACTAATTTCAAAATCATTTTTCGTTTCATTTTAAATAACAGAAAAATCTATGAAATCTTACACAACATTCAGCTTTTTCATATTCATTTTTTATTCTCATTACTAAGGAATCATTTATCATCTAAACCATCTTCAATTTATTTTTTATACAACAATAATTCTCTTAACATTCTTCACAATTTTAAATTTAAATATACTATAAACTTTTTAAATCTTTTATATCTGTTAAAATTCTTATTTGAATCCAGTCCATAATCTTATTTATTTGATAGTTTATTATAGATCCATATATAATCTTAATCATAAATTAAATTTTGTTATAAACTTGAAATTTATTAAGTGATTATATAATATTATATTTATTAAACCATTTAACCAACCATAAACTTATTGTTATTTATTATAAATATTCAAATAAGATTGCTTATTTATTTACCATTATTTATTTTATGTATGTTTACAATTTTAATTCCTATCCTAAATTAATTATTATAAAACTTTTATTATAATTCCATAATCCTCTACTACTACTTATCTTCTAATTTTATTTCAGTTGATTCTATTAATGTTTCTTAAGTGAATAATCTTCTATTGTATCATCTAAGCTCTATTCTTCAAGAAAAATCATCTACATTTTCTTTATCATCTTAATTTTTATTAGTTCTACTGAATTATCTTAATAATGCTATGAATAATTTTCATAAAAATCTTATTAAATAAAATTATTCAAAATGAATTTTCTTAATAATCGTATGAATATTATTCAATATAATAATTCTGTATAAATGCTCTTAAAAAAGTTATGAGGAATTTTTATTATGGTTAATATTCATCAGAATGATTATTCTCAGGATTGTCATCATAATTATAAGAATCTATTTCATTTTTCAGAATTGTATTGATTAATATGATTATCACTATTGNCATAATAATTGGTTTCATCTAATAAAGTGTTGAATTCTGAATCTGTCAAAATATCTGAAAATTAACATTTTTCTTATCTCTATCTTGCATTCTTTCCATTTCTTCCTAATTCTCCTTTATAAAGTTTCCAATTCTAACCAATCATCAAAAATATTAGACTAATTATCATTATAGTGATTCCTTCCACTAAAAGATCGTTTTTTAACATTTTTTATTTTTATAATACTCAAAAATATATTCAAAACAATTATTTATCTTCTAACTAATTTCAAAATCATTTTTCGTTTCATTTTAAATAACAGAAAAATCTATGAAATCTTACACAACATTCAGCTTTTTCATATTCATTTTTTATTCTCATTACTAAGGAATCATTTATCATCTAAACCATCTTCAATTTATTTTTTATACAACAATAATTCTCTTAACATTCTTCACAATTTTAAATTTAAATATACTATAAACTTTTTAAATCTTTTATATCTGTTAAAATTCTTATTTGAATCCAGTCCATAATCTTATTTATTTGATAGTTTATTATAGATCCATATATAATCTTAATCATAAATTAAATTTTGTTATAAACTTGAAATTTATTAAGTGATTATATAATATTATATTTATTAAACCATTTAACCAACCATAAACTTATTGTTATTTATTATAAATATTCAAATAAGATTGCTTATTTATTTACCATTATTTATTTTATGTATGTTTACAATTTTAATTCCTATCCTAAATTAATTATTATAAAACTTTTATTATAATTCCATAATCCTCTACTACTACTTATCTTCTAATTTTATTTCAGTTGATTCTATTAATGTTTCTTAAGTGAATAATCTTCTATTGTATCATCTAAGCTCTATTCTTCAAGAAAAATCATCTACATTTTCTTTATCATCTTAATTTTTATTAGTTCTACTGAATTATCTTAATAATGCTATGAATAATTTTCATAAAAATCTTATTAAATAAAATTATTCAAAATGAATTTTCTTAATAATCGTATGAATATTATTCAATATAATAATTCTGTATAAATGCTCTTAAAAAAGTTATGAGGAATTTTTATTATGGTTAATATTCATCAGAATGATTATTCTCAGGATTGTCATCATAATTATAAGAATCTATTTCATTTTTCAGAATTGTATTGATTAATATGATTATCACTATTGTATCATTGAATAGTTCTTTTTATTTTAAGCAATGAATAGATATTGTTATTCAATAATATACTTTTTGATTTTGAGATGAGAATAAAATTCAAAAGTTTTTTTGGTATTTTAAAGCTTTTCGATCTATTTGTATTTAAATTTAGATTATGATTCCATTTTATTATGTTCTAATCTAAAAATACGAATTTCCAAATTATTTCTATTTATAATCAACATTGAGATTAAAAGGGATTTTTCAGAATACTTAGATAGATCAATATGTATATCTGAAAGAGTTTATAAAATGAAACTATTGTTTATTATAATTTATTTTATTGTTAAATTATAGAATTATGATTATGATTATAAGTATGATAATAGATGAATTTTGAATGATCGCTATATATATGTAGATGTTAAGTTATTGATTTTATTTTTAAGAATATATTTTAATCATTTGATATTTTTATATTGAATATTATGAGACCTTATGCATAGTAGAATTTTTGAATATATAAATTAATATATGATTAGATTATTTGAAATAATGGCATCACAATAGGTGAATCCACATCTATTGTGTTCAATTTGTAGAGAAGTATTTTATAATCCAATACGTGCAACTTGTGGGTAAAAAAGATTCGATCAAATTATAGGCATACATTTTGTGGAACTTGTTTGGTTCGTTGGATACAACAAAAAAAGAGTTGTCCTCTATGCAGGCATTAGTTAGAACGCAATTATAAATTCGATAAAGACATTTTAGCTTCAAAAATAGTTGGAGATATTTAAGTAAAATGCTTGAAATGTTAATAATGGAATGGATCGATGGCATTATTTAAATAACATAAAACAAAATGTAAATTTATATAAAGAAATAATGAAATACCATTGAATGCTATTGAAATTGGAGATGATGACAATGATGTCACATTTTCATTTATTATTGACACACATAAGACAATAATACCAGCTAACTCTTCTACTTTAGTATAAATAGATGAATAAAGTGTTGAATAAGAAATAGATCCTTAAATAAATTTAAGAAGATAGAATAACGATATTCCAAATAACAATTTTTAAGTCGAAACTAATCAATAATTTATTAATGATTAAACTAATCATATAATTCAAGTTAATGTACTATAAGAGGAATCTAGTTAATAATAATAGATAGTTAATGAAGAATGTGATAATAATCAACAGAAATCAGATAATTTAAATAATTCAAATTAATCAGATGAATCAAACAAATTAAATAATTCAGATTTATCAAATATATCAAATATATCTAATAAATCATATAAATCAAATAGAGTAAGAAAATAGAAAAAGAAATCAGATAGGTAAAAAATATAAAAAATATAAAATAAATAAAATAATTCAGATAAATTAAAACAATTAAATGTAATATACTAAGGATAAGAAATGGAACGAAATGATGAATAAATATAGATTAGTGAATAAGAAAATAATAAAGTAATATAAAAAGGTATGTTGGAATAGAATGAATCAGAAATCGAGATATTATAACCTTCAATAAGAATATTAAATAATCATGAGATGAAAGAATAGAAATCAATAAGAAAGTTTAGAATAAATATAATAAAAAATAGTGTGAGTGTGTCTGAACCATTAATGAATGAAGATTTATTAAATGAATTGAGTAAACTGACAAATGAAAAGTTAGATGGCATTAATAAAATAAATACTGTGATTGGATGATGATAAATTAATATGTATCTCATTTTAGATAATTATTAATATATAATGCACAGTTTCTACCTGGAGCACCCATAACACCACCACCTGGATGTGTTCCAGAACCACATAAATAGAGTCCATTAATAGGAGTTCCATAACTATTATATCCATTACTTGGTCTATTTCCATATAACTTATCCAAAGTTAATGCACCATGAAATATATTACCCTCTGTCATATTCAAGAGTTGTTCAATTTCTTATGGTGTTACCATATCAGTGTAGAGAATTGATTTCCTATTCATAATATATAATAGTGATACTTAAAATTAGGGGCATATTATGAAATGTAATCAATAACTTATTCTTTCAATTGTTATTTAATTTATTCATTCCAATTAGATTTATAAGGAGTATATTATACAAGACATTAAACAATATGTTATCCTTATGGAGCAATAGTTTTATCATGAATTGTTGGAACTACTAAATCAACAAATAAGTTATCACTAAATGATCTAAATTATAATAATTAATTATTAATACTTTCCATTAATACAATCTTAATATGCTGATCTTAAACTATCTAACTTTTCACATCCTAAATGAGTAGTACCAATTAATACAGATTCAGGTTTTTCATACTTAGTTCCTTCAAAACATTTAAATTTAGGTATCTCGCTTACAGCAAAATTAAATTTAGTACAAGCTCCATTATATTCCATATGTTTAACATCATTAAAATATTTATGATCTTTATTTATTTATTCTTTTGATAATAATTTTTCAAATGTAATTCTTGGAGTAACACTACTTATTATTGTATCAGTATAATAAGTTTAATTATCTGAACATTTAACTCCTGTAACTTAATTATTTTAAGTAAGAATATGTTCAACATTTATATTAGTTTTAATTTCAACTCCTTTTTATTCACTTAAATTAGTTAAAATCTTAGAAATTGATCCCATTCCACCTTCAACAAATGCCCATTCTCCTTTAGAATTTGGAAATATCTCTCCCATTACATGATGTAATAATATATATGCACTAGCAGGAGTATCTATTGATATCATTTCACCTATGATTCCATCTGTTATAAGAGTTCCTTTTAATATTTCTGATTCAAACCATTTATTTAAAAATTAACTTGATGATTATGACATAAATTAAATGTAATCATATATCTAATATTATATATAATAATAAGATATACTTTTTATTTATTTTTCCATCCATCTTAACCCATCTTTAATAATAATCCAAGATCATCAAAAGTCTTCTTAATATTTTATCTTCTTGAAGATGTGTCATAAGGATATTTATCTTAATAATAACTCCATAAATCTATAATTTCAGATAAAAATTAATTGTATTCATCATATACTTCACTATCCTTCTTTGAAAACTTTGCTATTTCTTACTTACAAAAAGTTGAATCTGAGTTCATCAATAAATACTCTCCTTTATTCTTTGTCACTGTTATACTTGATATTGGTCTTCTAAATAATTTCAAACCATGTTAATATAGATTTAATTCTGTTATTACTGATGGACGCATCAAAGATAACAAATATGAAAATCGACTGAATTTAAATCCTGGATATATCTCTTCTGTTTAAGCAGCTCCACCTGTTATATGTCTTCTCTCTAAAAGTAGAATCCTTTTATGTTTCAAATAACATGCTGCTACAAGCGCATTATGACCACCACCTATAATTATTGCATCATATTTTTTCATATTTTATAAATTCAATTTATTGAGAATGTCTTGTTTAAGAAAATAAATTATTTCTTTTTGTAATCAACTTTGGAATTGAGCTTTTCTTATAAAAACTCAATTAAGAATTCGACTATTAACTTTTCATTGACCCAATCACAGAACTTGTTCGTATAGATTTACCATTTTTAAGATAAATTGAGTGTTAAGGACATATATTGTATGAACGTTCACCACTATTCTCTGTTCTTGTTGTCTATTAAGTCTTAAAACGTATCGGTTTTATTTATCTACGTCTTTAACTCACCCGATTCTAAACTTACATTATATAATTCTTTATTGTCTCTCCTATCTTTGTATTTCTATGCATAGCATAATTGTAAACTGTCTTGCTTTTCTCATTTGACAACTTAGCTATTTTCATTTGATACTTATTATCAATATCACGAATCATAGTCTAATTTCTGGAGGACTATCATTACATTCCTCATCAAATTTTGCTATGCACTTATCACTTTTTGAATCTTCTGATAATTCAACCACTTGCGGATCATTTCTTACTCCATATACTATAACAATTATTTTGGGTTTTAAATTAAATTAATCACTAATTAGATTTTACTATATACAAATCTCACTTAAAGTCTTTTCTTTCAAACATTTTATTCTATACAATCTCAACCAAAACACATATATTTTTATTCAAATTCTAAAAATATTATTCAAAACTAATAACATATATTATTAAAAGAGATCGATATTCACCCTATAAAAAAGAAGAATAAAATTTGATTTTTTTTTTTTTAGTTCTAAAAATTAATTCAAATAATTAAATTTATCAATTCAAGATCAAATAATGATCTTTTCTTGTTTAAATTTATCATTTTACAAAAGATATTATTCAGATACATATACTTAACCAATTTACAAATCATATTATTATTACAAATAATTAAGAAAATTAATGTAAAATATTTATTATCAATAATTAGCTCAAATTTTTTGGAACATTTAAAGTCAAGAAAATTAATATCTATTATTTAAAATATGAAATAATTTTTTTATATATAATTATAGCTCTATATAAATAAATCAACATTAAATGAGATACAATTGAAAAGTTGTTAAAATGCCCTTGAATTCAATTAAAAAATTTCAATATTAATAAAATGTGATTTTAGATTAATTTCAATTAATTCAATCTATATATATTCAATCAGAATCATCTTGATATTTTTTCACAAGTAGTTATAATTTGCATAATTGTAGAAGTAAAATGAAAATTGAGTGATTACCAAATTTTGTTATAGAATTGTATTAAGATTTATCAATATTAAAGATTTGATGATACTATAATTAAAAAAATGAAGTCAAAAGAATTCATTTTTAAATGGATCAATTTAAAAGTATGAGAAGAATATTAATTATTGAATGAAATAGAGTTCGATAAGAAAATTAGTAAAATATCTGAAATAGCAAATCATTAATATTAATTTGAATAATGATTTCTTTATCCACAGTAGAGAATAAACTTTTTATTATTTTTATAAACGAAATATATGGGTTTGTGTAGTTCAAATGTTCGTTAGAAGGGTTAAAAGAATTCTGAAATAAGGTAATTCAGTTAATAGGAGATTGGTAATTTTTACAAATTGGGATAAGTAATTGGTCGAGGCAATTTTGCAACAGTTTAAATTGGCTACAAGATAGATTAAGAAAAGAATGGATTGAAAGGAAAGTGTTATGCTATAAAATGTATAGATAAGTAGAGGATAAGTTTTGAACACATCTAAAGAGAATTGGAGATTTTATCAAGACTTGATCATCCAAATATTATAAGAGTTTATGAAGAATATGAAGATGTAAATCATTTTTATTTTGTGATGGAGTACTGTAAGGGAGGAGAACTGTTTNATAACATATATTATTAAAAGAGATCGATATTCACCCTATAAAAAAGAAGAATAAAATTTGATTTTTTTTTTTTTAGTTCTAAAAATTAATTCAAATAATTAAATTTATCAATTCAAGATCAAATAATGATCTTTTCTTGTTTAAATTTATCATTTTACAAAAGATATTATTCAGATACATATACTTAACCAATTTACAAATCATATTATTATTACAAATAATTAAGAAAATTAATGTAAAATATTTATTATCAATAATTAGCTCAAATTTTTTGGAACATTTAAAGTCAAGAAAATTAATATCTATTATTTAAAATATGAAATAATTTTTTTATATATAATTATAGCTCTATATAAATAAATCAACATTAAATGAGATACAATTGAAAAGTTGTTAAAATGCCCTTGAATTCAATTAAAAAATTTCAATATTAATAAAATGTGATTTTAGATTAATTTCAATTAATTCAATCTATATATATTCAATCAGAATCATCTTGATATTTTTTCACAAGTAGTTATAATTTGCATAATTGTAGAAGTAAAATGAAAATTGAGTGATTACCAAATTTTGTTATAGAATTGTATTAAGATTTATCAATATTAAAGATTTGATGATACTATAATTAAAAAAATGAAGTCAAAAGAATTCATTTTTAAATGGATCAATTTAAAAGTATGAGAAGAATATTAATTATTGAATGAAATAGAGTTCGATAAGAAAATTAGTAAAATATCTGAAATAGCAAATCATTAATATTAATTTGAATAATGATTTCTTTATCCACAGTAGAGAATAAACTTTTTATTATTTTTATAAACGAAATATATGGGTTTGTGTAGTTCAAATGTTCGTTAGAAGGGTTAAAAGAATTCTGAAATAAGGTAATTCAGTTAATAGGAGATTGGTAATTTTTACAAATTGGGATAAGTAATTGGTCGAGGCAATTTTGCAACAGTTTAAATTGGCTACAAGATAGATTAAGAAAAGAATGGATTGAAAGGAAAGTGTTATGCTATAAAATGTATAGATAAGTAGAGGATAAGTTTTGAACACATCTAAAGAGAATTGGAGATTTTATCAAGACTTGATCATCCAAATATTATAAGAGTTTATGAAGAATATGAAGATGTAAATCATTTTTATTTTGTGATGGAGTACTGTAAGGGAGGAGAACTGTTTCAAAAGATTAAAAACAATGGAATATTAAATGAAAGGAATACTTAAATAATAATGAGATAATTGTTTTCTGCAGTGAGATATTTACATGAGAGAGGAATAATTCACAGAGACTTGAAGCCAGAGAATTTGATGTTAGTATCGGCAGATGGAGAATTTGATATAAGAATAATAGATTTTGGATTAAGTAAAAGAGAGTAAGTTATAAAAAAGCCATAGTAATTAAGATCAAAATGTAGACATTAAACAAAGGTTGGAACTCCAATTTATGTAGCTCCAGAAGTGTTGAAAGGAATTTATTCTGAAACATGTGATGAATGGTCATTAGGTTGCATAATGTATGTATTGCTTTTTGGACAACCTCCGTTTAGTGGGTAAAATATTCATTAATTGGAATAATAAATAAACAAACCTAATTTAAATTTCAAGCACAATATTTCAATAGAATGCCAAGATCTAATTAGAAAATTATTACAACCTAATCCCAATAAGAGAATAACTTGTTTGTAAGCATTGAAACATCCTTGGATGATACGAGATACTAATTAATTTAGGTTGCTAACTACTATGTAAAGTGAGGATAACAGTTTAGAAATAGAAAGAATTATTGAATTACTTAGACAATATGGTGAATGTACTTAATTCAAAAAAGAATCACTGAAAATTTTATTATCTTAAATTACAGATTTGTAATACAAACATTTAAAATTGAAATTTGAAGAATTAGATAGAGATAATTGTGGAACCATTAAGGAATTAGAATTATAAGAATTTTTGGATCAATAAGGGAAGAGTAAATTATTGAAATAATTGTCGATGAATAAGTTTAGCTAAAATGATTAGGGATTTTATATTTCATACACAGATTTTATGGCAGCTTTATTAAATTAGCCATTTTATTTAACTTAAGATAGATTGGAAAATTTATTCAATTGGTATGATATAAAACATAGGTAATATATATCCAAAAATGATTATGGAATAGCAATGAATAGAAGAGGTGTAGTTATTAATTAAGACAAGATTGAGGCTATATTTGGTGAGTTGAATTTGACTTTGATAAGATATGAGCAGTTTAAACAATAAATCATTATGAATTCAGTTAAATAGATTAATAGGAGCACAATAGAAACCAAATAAATAAATGGATTAAAAGCTGTGAAGATAGAACCATGCATTGGAGATTATTGTAAATTTTTATGATTTTTTATTAATTATATAAAAAACGGGTATGAAAAGAATTGCCTTTGGATTGTTATGTATAATATTAGTGACAGCTAGCAGCAATGTGATGCTATAGACAGCTGATCACAGTGCATTCAGTGAAGTGTTCGAAAATTATGTAATGAGTGTAGATTTAATAGGGAACAGTCAAAACAAAGTGAATTTGGTGGTAAATTATTTGGAGAGCTATTGATAATGGTTTAGAAGGGTGAAACACTTTAGAGTTTAAATGATCATGTTGAAGAATTGATAAAGCATTTATCAGATGATGAATCAGAGGATGAGAAATACTTTAATGATAAATAGTCAGAAATGGAAGCTGGAATGCAAGGTTTAGTAACTGAGGTGGAAGAGTTACGAGTATCAGTTGAATAGACAGCAAGTAGGATTTAAGTATTGAATAACTAATAATCAATAATTGATGGTTTATTTGCAAATGATTAAACAGCATATTAAAAGAGAGTTGGTGATTAGAATTCAATTTTGGATGTGATAGGATAATTATTACTTCGTGTAAGTTAATTACTTTAAGGTGGTGGACATAGTTTGATAGAGAAAGATAACTTATTGGAAGAAATAAAGGCTTTAGGAAGAGGAAAGCATATTGAAGTGTTGGCTTAAGTAATAGTTAATAGTTTAGATATAGATTACAGCTCATTTACAATTAGAATAAGTAGAACATATTCAGGAATTGCTTAATAGATTAAGGGATGCTGTTCTCAACAGTTTGGCTATTGATGAAGAAAAAGAATAAGAGAATATTAGATTATACAATAAGTTAAGTGCAGAAATTAGAAGGTAATTGAATTAAATATATATATTATTAGTTCATTAGCTGAGACAACCAGATAACATTAAGAATTAGATGCTCATTTCCAATAGAAGGAATAAGAATTAAATTTAAAGAAATTAGATGTTCGTGAAGTCGGAGAGAAATTATAAGACAGAAACGATTAGAGGTGAATTACTACATAAATATGAATAGATAATTTATATTGGATAGAGTCGAAGAAGCATAAGAATTACTTAATGATAATTTGGATAGAATAGCTAGATGGTCGATTGAAAGCGAATGAACATCATTTGGAAAATTAATAATTTTTAATTTAATAAAAAAATGAACGTCGTTTTATCAAAATGTGATCCTGTAATCACCAAACTTGGCCTTGATGATATTGATCAAATGGAAATACTCAAAGCTCCATGTGCCAAAATCGGAGTTAGACCTGCTCATGCTGTTTTTATAGGGGGTTCTATTGCTTTTTTCAGTATTTTACTTGGAATTGCAGCACGTTTTCTCTCTTCATTTATTTGTATTGTCTATCCTGCTTATAGAAGTATTTAAGCCATTGAATCAAGAGGTATTACTATATTATTAATCATAGATAATAGTAATGATGACAAACAATGGTTGACCTATTGGATCTTATATTCCATTATCACTTTGGCAGATTCTACTCTTGGATTTGCTTTAGAGTTCATTCCATTCTATCATATCCTTAAATTAGCTCTATATGTTGCTTTATTCCACCCATAAGTTAAAGGAGCTGAAAAATTATATGATTCAGTATTTATATCTATAACATCTAGTTTGTTGCACCATTATATTAAAAACACAACTAATAAATTGAAAGGGAATTTGAGAAACTTAAAGATGGAATCAATTAGAAATTTTAAACAAATAAATGAGTCATTTAAATATAGCCACGTATATATAAATAAATTGTAAATCATTTAAATGTTCCAGTTACTCTCATTCTGCATTCATTTAATGATTAACTTAGATACTTTATTTCTTTTCTTTGTTAATTGTATTTGAACACTATCGTTTATCTCAAAAATGATTCCTCAACTTAATGAAAATCAAAGTAAATCATATGCACACTTCGAAATTCAGTTGTTTAATTTATTTCTAATCTCGCTGAACCATCCAACATAACCTAAAAGATTGCTCCATATCTAATTATACATATAAATATAGTATTATACCCATTGTAGTTTTGTTCAACTTTATTTAAAGTTGCTATTGCTATCTAAGCATAATCCTTAAATGGCATTTACAAATTTTATAATGCTTTTATCTAGGTAAAACCATTCACTGTCGCTTCATGATTAAATAAAAAGAACAAATCCTTATCAGAACTTATTTCAATTTTTATTGATTATGGATTACTATCAGTTCCCCTTAATTAAATAATATCCTTACTAGTTGTAAGACTCGTAAACGGATAGGTTCTGGTTAACTAAGTTCCTAGACTTCTGAAAAGCGATCTTGGAAACGAATATTAATATTCAAAATTCGATCATATAGAACTTTGTGTCCTTCCTTTAAAGCTGGATCTAAGTAATCAATTTCAGCAAAGTCTAATGGATTGATTTATACAGCATTGAGCCAAGAGCTACCTGATTTCATATTATTTTTTGAAATAATTAAAAACAGTTAATAGTTATGAATTAATTAGTATAAGTGATTCTATTTTTGAATTGTACTAAAGTTGTGAGAGAAGAGGATTCTCCTCTTTTCAATAAGATAGTTGTAAGGAATTAAAATTAATTGTAGTACAACATCCGTAATAATTAATATTAGTAAATGTCTGAATTAAGGAGTGATTTAGATAAGTATTTGAGTTAATGTGAGAATGTTGAGATTAAGGAGAGATTAAATTATGAATTACAAAGATTAGGATTAATATGAGACAATTTAATATATATATATATATAAAATATGTAAGACTCAGATATAGAATCATAAATGTTATATCAATCTATTGCTGAATAGTAAGATGATGTAGAAGATAAACAAATAATAGTGAGCAGTCTAACAGATATGAATGAAGCATAAGATGAATCTATTCAGATAAATTTTGATAGAGAATTGATCTCATAATTAGAGGAAGAGATTGTGATATTGTAGAGAAAGAATATCTACTTAACAGATCAATTAAAAGATAAAGATAATTAAATCTCATTACTTAAAGAGAGGTTGCAAAAACAAACATTCATTAATGAAACTCATCAAATTGCTGAAGTATAACTAAAATAATAAATTGAAGAACTCAAGAATAAAATATCAGAACTTCATTATCAAAATTAAATAACCATTAATCAAACATAAATTTAAACCATTCCCAAAATTAATTTAGATTTTAGTTGGGTAAATCATATTGACAGAGATCATTCTCATGATGGATTATTAGAACGTTATGATCGTTTCAAATATTCTAAGCGTCTTGTACCAATCTAAATTAAATAACCCCATTAAATTCAATAAAGTCCATATTTTGAATAGTTATCTGAACGGAAACAAATTATACAAAGAAAGCGTCTCAATAATTTATGATTTAATGTTTCGTATATTTACTTTGTTATTTTGTTCTCCCTCAATTATCTATATTCTAATAATTCCAAAATATAAATTATTATAATTATGGACTTCAAGTTTAATAAAGAATTCTGAAGATTATGTACAGTAAATAATTTCATAAATTACTGAAATCATTATTAATTGGAATGAAGTTATAAAGCTACATATTCCAAAAAGACTATTCAATAGAACCTTTGAAAGATATCTGTTAGTGAGGATACACTTTAACTACCACTTGAATTACAAGAGAATGGAAGACTTTTTTTACATAAATCAATTCCAAATTTTCAACTATTGACTATTGGAGAATTGGCTAATACTAAGTAAAGTACAAATTTAAATTATGAAATACCAAAAGATAGAAAATAGAAAGAATCTTTATAATTTATATATAATAAATTAATTTATATCAAATTTAATGATCTACTAAAATTTTAATGATCAAATGATTATCTAAACTTGTAAACATAAATAGTACAAGTATAATTTTGACTTTTAAAATTTGAAAATTTAATAATAATCACACTATTTTTAATTTGTAGAATAATTGAGCTTTTTCATAACACTCTTAACAAACTGATTGATTATAATTATAATTTGAAATAGAGACAATTTTTGATTCAGCATCCAGGATTGATGCTCCATATTAAGTATTTTATGATTGTTATTATTTAGGACTTAGAGAATAAAAATAATTTAAGTATAGAGATTCATTACAAGATAAACAGAAATTGAATTAGATTCCATTTTAATAATATTGTTCTTAAAAGTATTAAATAACAGTCATAAAATTTATAAGTAGCATAATAAATTATAATGTATCATTACAAATTATTGATAAAATAACAAAATTTTCATATGCATTTTTTAGCATCCTAATTCAATATTGATAATATAGAGAGATATAAATTTATTGTCCTCAATAATTGAAGTACTTTTTTAATACGTTTTATTCCTTTCGAATTATAGATATATTGTTAAAATTTCTTCTCAATTAAACTAATTTGTATCAATAATATTTCTCTTTAATACATAAGCCAAAAATTGTAGGATAACCTTTCATTAAAATAACTTTCTTCTAAAGACTTTTTGATTAGCAATTACAATTAAATAAGAAATNGTTCTCCCTCAATTATCTATATTCTAATAATTCCAAAATATAAATTATTATAATTATGGACTTCAAGTTTAATAAAGAATTCTGAAGATTATGTACAGTAAATAATTTCATAAATTACTGAAATCATTATTAATTGGAATGAAGTTATAAAGCTACATATTCCAAAAAGACTATTCAATAGAACCTTTGAAAGATATCTGTTAGTGAGGATACACTTTAACTACCACTTGAATTACAAGAGAATGGAAGACTTTTTTTACATAAATCAATTCCAAATTTTCAACTATTGACTATTGGAGAATTGGCTAATACTAAGTAAAGTACAAATTTAAATTATGAAATACCAAAAGATAGAAAATAGAAAGAATCTTTATAATTTATATATAATAAATTAATTTATATCAAATTTAATGATCTACTAAAATTTTAATGATCAAATGATTATCTAAACTTGTAAACATAAATAGTACAAGTATAATTTTGACTTTTAAAATTTGAAAATTTAATAATAATCACACTATTTTTAATTTGTAGAATAATTGAGCTTTTTCATAACACTCTTAACAAACTGATTGATTATAATTATAATTTGAAATAGAGACAATTTTTGATTCAGCATCCAGGATTGATGCTCCATATTAAGTATTTTATGATTGTTATTATTTAGGACTTAGAGAATAAAAATAATTTAAGTATAGAGATTCATTACAAGATAAACAGAAATTGAATTAGATTCCATTTTAATAATATTGTTCTTAAAAGTATTAAATAACAGTCATAAAATTTATAAGTAGCATAATAAATTATAATGTATCATTACAAATTATTGATAAAATAACAAAATTTTCATATGCATTTTTTAGCATCCTAATTCAATATTGATAATATAGAGAGATATAAATTTATTGTCCTCAATAATTGAAGTACTTTTTTAATACGTTTTATTCCTTTCGAATTATAGATATATTGTTAAAATTTCTTCTCAATTAAACTAATTTGTATCAATAATATTTCTCTTTAATACATAAGCCAAAAATTGTAGGATAACCTTTCATTAAAATAACTTTCTTCTAAAGACTTTTTGATTAGCAATTACAATTAAATAAGAAATAAATACTAATAAAGTATGTGATTAACAAATCTTAGATATCAAAATTATATACAATTGTATTTGTTCTGATGATATTTATAATTCTAATGAGATTTTATAAAATTGTGTGCTGTATTAAAGATAAAGAGTTAATAAATATACTATAGAGTTCTATTCTTGCACCTTGAAAAATACTGTATCATAATACCATGAGTATTGAAATAAAAGTCAATATATATTTGATGTGTATTCAGTATGAGATCTTCAGTAAAATAAAAATGATATGCTAATACCTAGTATCATATTTGATTGAATATTTTTAATTATTGTTCTTAATTGATAAATTAATTAATAAAACTAAAATAGTGTATGATTCAAAAGATAGAAAACATTAAATGTAGATTTAGTTATGAAAATAAGATAAGACTAATTAATTGAATCAATTGTAATATCAAATAATTGATAGATGAATTCTTTTTTTTTTATAGTAAATTCACAAGATGTTTAATATTAATTTTAATATTTTGTTTTGATTTATCATATAATAATAATTCATTTAACCTACTCAACCTGGTCTTGCCCAACTCTTAGCAGGTGGTAATTCTCTCAAGGACAATTTATCATAAGGAGTTGTACGACTATTTCATAAATGAGATATTTTTACGGCTCATTTGAATCTCTCTTTTACACGCTGTTCCATGAAGAAACTTAGAAACCCTACCAACCATAAGATATGAAAATGAAGAATATCCAAGGCAATATTCTAGTATTCATTACTGGAGTATGGATATTGAAAATTCCATTTCTTTCAAATGATGTTGTTCTTCTAAACCATGCCATTGTTACTGGAGTTCTTGCTTTACTTATCAATCAATTCTCTTACATGTTGTAGCTGTCCTTCTAACCAATCCTTCAATATATTAAGGAATCTCTGCTTGTACTTCAAACTTTCCAACATTTGCTGCAAGAAAATCGCTTTTCTCTAAAAATATATTTGCCAACAACTCTACATTATTGTAATTCTCCAAACTCTGGTGCAACTTTATCATACTTATTGGTAAATAGAGGATCAAATTTACCAAAGGTCCTAGTCTCAGGTATGTAATTACTCATTATTTTATTAATTCAATAATTTTAGATTTGATATATGCTTTTAGATATTCATCATAGATTATTATCATTGATTATTTATCTTTTTAATATTTATCATATATCATTTCTATTCTTTATATTGAATCATCTAAAAAACAACAATACTCCTATTATATTTCATCAAATCAATCTGCTGAGTATATTTATTACTGTTAATGCTTAAGGCTATATCTTTTTTGTTGATTAATTCAATTTATCTAAAATTACATTCTTAAGCACAATATCCAAATATATAAAGTATTTCACATTTCAATTGTAATATAAATAACAATAATCAGATTTCCTCTATTAAATATTATTTTTTTATGATTGAGATATAAGAAATAACAAACTAAATTTAGTTGCGTTTAGAATTCAATCGTGTAATATTTTCTATATTAACTCAGCCCTATGAATTGATCATGGATTCTTTTGTTTTGGGATATCTATAAGCAAAGGATAACTAATAATAATTATTTATTTAAAATGTAGAGTTAATCAAAAATTTAAGAGAATTTATTCAATCAACTGTATATACAAAATAATAGGTTTGTGGGATTTATAATAAAGCTTTGAATGGAAATAAGAATGTTTTTTAAATTAATTATTATGATAGCTTCTGTAATTGTGTACTAATTTTGAAGACAACATCGATATTTAAGCTTATATTCCTATCAATAATAATCAAAATTAATATCATTAATATCAACCAATACATAATTAATTTAAGTAATACAGATAGGAAGAGTAGAATTAATAATTTATGAAGAATTAATAGAATAATTTATAATAGAGAAATTATGAAGATTAAATGAATTTAGAGTTAGCTAAAAAATTATAAAATGAGTAAATTGAATATATGATTATAAGTTTTGACTCAGAGTATTAATAAGAAATGTATACAAGTGCTTTGTAAGAGGCAGAAATGAGAAAGTTAAAAAAATAAGAATAAGATGAATTGAATAATTAAGTTTAATGTAATATATGTTTGGAAGTTATCGAATTAGCTGAGATGGCAACTTTATAATGTTTTCATATATATCATTAAAAATGTTTAAATTAATATTGTACTACATAAATTGAGGCAAGATAATTTCCATTAATTTGTCCAACTGTTGAATGTAAAAAGAATATGATTTATTCTGATTTAACTGAAGTTTTGGATGATTAAAAATTGATTGAATTCCATTAATATACTTTTAAGTAATATGTTGAAAGTCATGGTGATGAAGTATTTAATATAATTAAACAATTAAGTATTCATGGTGTCCAACACCTGATTGTAAATATGTGTTTATTGCTGATGGTACATAATTTAATTGTCCTTCATGTACTAAATCATATTGTTTATAATGTAAAATAGAATATCATCATGGATATTCATGTTAAGGGTATAAAGAATTGATTTAAAATTAATTGAGGGCTAAAAATGAGAAAGTTTTGGATGATTAATTCTTTTAATTTGTTTAAGGTGCAAAATACAAATAATGTCCTTAATGTAAATTTTGGGTAGAGAAGAATTAAGGATGTGATCATATGACTTGTAGATGTAAATTTTAATTCTGTTACATTTGTGGAGGTGTTTATGGTAATTGTGCTTGTGTTAGAAGAAGATGATTAAAATAAGTTAAACTCTTATGTGATATTCTTGGAATATTTATATAAAATTTGAATTAACCATGAATTTAATAATAAAATATATAAAATGTTGTTTATCTTTTCTAAAATTAGTACAAAATTGAATACATGACCTTTGAATATATAAAACATGTTATATAGAGTATGTTTGAGAGGAATAGTAAAATATGAAATGTGATATATTAGTGTATGAAATATTTTAGAATAATAATTGATTTTGATATTCATAAATACTTATAAATAAAATTTCAAATGAACTATTCTTAATCGTTTGATTTTTAGAATGAAGAGAATGGATTTTAAGATGACGAGGATTAGATTGAATTTGAGGAGATAGGATAGAATGAAATGATGATGAGATATGAAAATGAGGAAGAAATGTATAAGTTACTTTAAAGTGTTTGATAGTATTGAGTAGGTTAAGAATAAAGATATAGATGAAGAGGAACTTAATTAGAGTGAAATTTAAAAGATATCTTCAACTCTATGTATGAGAGAATAAGAGTAAGATTATGATTCAGAAGAGGAATCTGAATTTGATAAAATGTAAATTGAATATTTGTGATATCATTTATAGTCAATCAAAAACATGTAACTCAGGGACATTGTAGAAACCAATAAAGAAGTAGAAGAAATATAATAAAGAAGAACCTGTAAGAATTGAATGATTTATAGAGTTTGTTTATAGAAGAGAAAGATAAAGAAATGGAGTGAAGAAGAGAATAAACAATTATAACATTTGTTTCAAATATATTAAGGAGATTGGGAGATTATTGTTAAGTTTATGGAAGGAAGAACAGTTTCATAATGTAAATAACATTGGTAGCGTTTGAATGGGGGTTAAGATAAAAAGAAGAAATGGACAGAAGAAGAAAATTTAATTATCTTATCATTTACCAAAGATAATCCACAATTTAATAATTGGTAACAAATTGCACTAAGTATAAAATAATCATTTAAAAGAGGAATGCAGAATAGAAATAGTAAACAAATAAGAGAACATTATATGAATTAATTACGTCCTGGTATTAATAACAAATTACCTTGGAATGAATAACAAGATAAATTATTATTACAATTATATTCTAAATATGGCAGCAAGTGGTGTTAAATTAATAAACATTTTTAAGGAAGAACAGTATTTGTATTATTAATTAAGGAAATTATGTTAAAAAATAGATTCAACAAATTGCAAAAGGGAAACTCTTATGTTGATCACTTTCTCAATATAGATGATGAACCATAACTATAATAATCTCATACATTCTCATTTAATTGATTATAGTTATTAATTATTTAAATCTAATAATAATATAATCAATTCATTTTATTCACATTCCCATCCAATTCAATACTATACACAATTATTAATATTCTCATATCAATAATTTATTAAAAAATTAACTAACCAAAAGAATCCTTTTACTAATCTAATTACTCTAACAAAGATTATATGCTATCACTAAATACTCTAATATTAACAAATCTCATAATCTTATTCAAATATACTCTCTCAATTATTGGTTCAGTTTTAATATTCAAAATTTTAAATCTAATCTCATATGTGAATACTAAAAGATCAAAACAACTAGTTTTTATTTTGAGAAATAAATAAACCCATAATATAAATGTTGTATATTTAGAATAATTATTCCAATGAAACAGAATAATCAAAATAGACTTTTTTCAAAGAGAATTATAAATCTTGTTTATATTAGATAATCTTTTAATTGTCAAGTGAATTGAAATCTCTACGATTATTGAATACATTTATACATTTATTAGGTGGTTTTCTAGAGAATTTATCTTTAGGAAGATAAATAAAATAATTAAAAATTCTAAATGAACCAATATTGCTTATCTATTATTGTTGGCAGTAATTTACATTTAAAATCAAGATATTCGGTTCACTCACTCTTTAAAAATATTTCTATCGTATATAAGATTAAAGAATTAATAGTAGGCAGAGTTAAAATTTATACAAGTTATTGTCTTTATTTAGATTGATTATAAATAAAGTTTCTGTGATCTTATTCTTAAGAATCACTGAAATATTTAGTATCACTTAATTCTCTAGAAAATAAAAAAAGAAGAATAATTTTATAGCATGTCTTAATTATGATTTGATTATTACTCTTTTATATATTAGATATAACTATTTGTTATCCTTATTTTTTATAATTAGTTAATCTACTTTAACCATTAATAATTAATTTTTTATTTATGTTCAAACCTAATTTCTCGGCATAATCCAAATCTCTTCCTTAAGATGACTTTGAAAAGTATATCAAGACAGCTTTATAAGAAAATTACTATATGACCTGTTTAGNAGTAAACAAATAAGAGAACATTATATGAATTAATTACGTCCTGGTATTAATAACAAATTACCTTGGAATGAATAACAAGATAAATTATTATTACAATTATATTCTAAATATGGCAGCAAGTGGTGTTAAATTAATAAACATTTTTAAGGAAGAACAGTATTTGTATTATTAATTAAGGAAATTATGTTAAAAAATAGATTCAACAAATTGCAAAAGGGAAACTCTTATGTTGATCACTTTCTCAATATAGATGATGAACCATAACTATAATAATCTCATACATTCTCATTTAATTGATTATAGTTATTAATTATTTAAATCTAATAATAATATAATCAATTCATTTTATTCACATTCCCATCCAATTCAATACTATACACAATTATTAATATTCTCATATCAATAATTTATTAAAAAATTAACTAACCAAAAGAATCCTTTTACTAATCTAATTACTCTAACAAAGATTATATGCTATCACTAAATACTCTAATATTAACAAATCTCATAATCTTATTCAAATATACTCTCTCAATTATTGGTTCAGTTTTAATATTCAAAATTTTAAATCTAATCTCATATGTGAATACTAAAAGATCAAAACAACTAGTTTTTATTTTGAGAAATAAATAAACCCATAATATAAATGTTGTATATTTAGAATAATTATTCCAATGAAACAGAATAATCAAAATAGACTTTTTTCAAAGAGAATTATAAATCTTGTTTATATTAGATAATCTTTTAATTGTCAAGTGAATTGAAATCTCTACGATTATTGAATACATTTATACATTTATTAGGTGGTTTTCTAGAGAATTTATCTTTAGGAAGATAAATAAAATAATTAAAAATTCTAAATGAACCAATATTGCTTATCTATTATTGTTGGCAGTAATTTACATTTAAAATCAAGATATTCGGTTCACTCACTCTTTAAAAATATTTCTATCGTATATAAGATTAAAGAATTAATAGTAGGCAGAGTTAAAATTTATACAAGTTATTGTCTTTATTTAGATTGATTATAAATAAAGTTTCTGTGATCTTATTCTTAAGAATCACTGAAATATTTAGTATCACTTAATTCTCTAGAAAATAAAAAAAGAAGAATAATTTTATAGCATGTCTTAATTATGATTTGATTATTACTCTTTTATATATTAGATATAACTATTTGTTATCCTTATTTTTTATAATTAGTTAATCTACTTTAACCATTAATAATTAATTTTTTATTTATGTTCAAACCTAATTTCTCGGCATAATCCAAATCTCTTCCTTAAGATGACTTTGAAAAGTATATCAAGACAGCTTTATAAGAAAATTACTATATGACCTGTTTAGATACATGTTTTGCTGATTATTCTACACCGATTTGTATGAAATACTTAAATATATTCAATAATAGCAGGATAAGAGAAAGTCTGTTTAGCCAAATGTCTTGATAGAGCATATGATTCATTAAGATTCGTATAAAAGATGATAGACCCCTTTGACAGTCTTAAATAGAAGAAGTTTTACTATAAATTAGATGGTTAAAACATATTAGGTTTGAAGAAGGATTAAATGTTGTGATTATTAATAATTTATGAAAATATTGTTGCTTTTAGCATATTTTTTATATGTCTAAGCCGAATGCTGTAAATATATTTGATGTAGAACTTTAGACTATAATCAATATGGAGTATTACACTTCTGTGATGAATGTTGTTATTGGTATGATGGTGATTGGTATTGTGAAACATATCAGTATTGTTACACTTTTATTGCAATCACTGTATCAATATGGATTTTGATATGTTTAATCTATCTTAGTCTTTATTTCTATGTTAGAAATAAGACCATCTAGAGAATAACTCTTATTCATAATCGATCAGCTAAAGCATAAAGAGAAAATATTGTTTAAGAGACTTCAAAAAAAAATGAAATACAAAATTAAACTATTGAAGTAGCAACCATGGATGTACAAATTTCAAATGATTAATTATGAACTATAATTTTTTATAATTTAATGTTCTTGCTATTTATTTTTATTGTGCCTCTAATTGCTTAAACATGTTTCAGTAATAAGGCTGCTGTAGAATGTAAATAATTAAAGTGTTGCACTTAAGAAGGCTTTTGCACTTTATCTGAAAGTGAATGTTATTATAGTGCTGAGAAATGTATAGATAGATTTATTACATTTTAATTAGACTCATGCGATTATGCTGAATGTGATTATTGTTGTATTTATAATGGAGATACAGTTGAATGTGGAACATAAGAATAATGTTTAGCTTGGATTTTCATATTACTAGGTTCTTGGCTATTATTAACTATTATTGTTGTATTTGCAGCTATTAATCGAAAAAGAAATATCGCTACTCGTATGATTCTTATTGCTGAAAAAGCTAAACTTGTTGCTTAAGATAATTCAAGAAAATCTATTGTCTCATAAATCATTGCACCAGAACAAATTTATGGTAAAGAATTCTAAATTGAAAAAGATAACTATAATTTGTAATTATGATTTCTTTATTTTTATTTTCATTCATCATCAAAAATAGAATTCTATTTTTGTCGTTACTTATAAAATAACTCATTTTATAAACGATATATATTTTAAACACCAATTTCTATCATACAGTAATTTAAGACTTAACTGATTCATTCTATTTTTATCTCATTCTTAACATATAAATTCAATACTAAGTTTTTAAGAATTTTCAATATTTTTACAATTTCTCGAAAATCTTCATTTTTAGTCAATTATAGTCAAAAATCTATCTCATCTATAATTATTTAAGGTTATTTCCATCCATTTTATTTTTCAATTTCTAATAATTAATTCAAATCTAACAATTATTATTGTAATCTTAATTAACGTTCATCATTTAGTTATTAATTTTCCATTTTTTTTTGCAATATCTTAACAAAAATAAATTTACTAATCTTATATGTGGTTGTAATTAAAAAAATTAAATATGATAATTTAGTTTCGATTAGGAACAGAATATCAATTTATATATTTTTTGGATACATTTATTGTACAATAATTCAAATGGTTAAATATAAAAAATGTAACTATGAATTGCATAATTAAGGAAATAAAAAAAAAGAGAATTGAAAACACGTAAAAATAAAAGATTCATTAGATGAGAATAAAAATAAACCTGTACACTAATAATAAAATCTAAAAGTATTTAGGATGAATAATTTAAAGTGCAGTCTTTTTTGTTAAGTATAAAAATAAAGTTGATTGAAAAATGATTCAAAATTATTGATTTTTGGTATTTAAATTATATTGAACAGATAATGAAGTAAAAAAAGTTAATTGTATATATATACTTAATAATTTAATTATAAATAGATAATTATATATAAAAATAATATGAATAACTTGTTAATTAGAATATTTAATTATAACAGTTAATTTAAAAATTGATGAAGTCGAACAACGAAAACAATTATGTTAGAGTATCATACAATAACTTTGTAACAACACGAAATCGATAATTTGGTAATG